CTAAAGTACAAAATAATAAGATCCACACCATGACAGCCCAAGGCTACAATCCAGAGTGATGTGTTCTTTAACATGTACTGTCCCAACCAAATAAACAATAAAGGGGACTGTTTAAGTCTAGCCTAGTAGTTGAATTTTCTGTAGTGTGTCCTGGTGTGGATTATGAAGAAGAAGAAGAAACAACAGTTCTAACAAAGTTGATTTTATACAACGTCCTCTCACTGACACTGTTTGAATCAATAATACATAAGTCCTCGGTGGAAGACAGAGAAACTCGGCAGATGCAGCGCAGTGAAAACATAATGCTGTCGCTGCGGCGCCTCCCACTCCCATTGTCTTCACGTGTGAAAGAGGATCGCTGTAATTACACACATCACCAAAGAAGAGTCCGCCGAGCCCGATGAAGACCCCCAATCTTCATCGCTTCACTGCAGACAAGCCGTGATTACCCAGCCTCACAAAGAGAGCGATGCAGTAGTGTTACCACAGGACTCCCAGAGCAGTCAATTTGACGGCTTTTTTGGAACCGTTGTTGGTCTTCATAACTTTGTCATTTTTTTCTTTTTCTATATGGAGTTTATTTCTATGTCATTCTGATGAAGTTATCTTTCATTCTTACTTTGTTCTTTTATTTTATTCTGAGAGTTCTAGTGTTAAAGGAGACACATTATGCAATATGGACTTGGCCTTTCCCCTTTGCTAATAGATCGCAAATTATGCCAGGAAATGTTTGTTAATATAGATATTTTTAATCTCCCCTTATCCCTGCCTACTTCTCTGTATTTTAGTTGCACATGTTTGTTTACTTAACAATGCAACTATGGTTACGGTTGTATATTGGACTCCAAAATCAGAGACAGACTGAGCTTGATTCATAAACGGATTTAACAAAAAACAAGAACCAGCCACGCCCCTCTCACGCACATGCCCAAAACAAAAAGGGACGAGGGAGACAGAGCAAAAACATAAACCCAACAACTACTTCATTCACAGGGAAAAGCCCCGGCGATACAAGAGGGCGTCTCATTCAAATGAATGGCTTGTGCTCAGTGGTGCATGTGCCATTATGGGCACGAAAAGATTTGCGGAACTCTGACATGTTTGGACATCGTCTGGTCCTCCCGGTTCTGCTCAGTGGATTATCTCCCATGATGCTTTGCGCCATGGGTGCGACAGTAGCTCAGTTGGTAGAGCATTGGCCTTAAGGCCTGAAGGTCGTGGGTTCAATTCCCACCTCTGCACCTTCTCCACCGACTCCCACTGATGACTGCTGTCGTTGTGTCCTTGGGCAAGACACTTAACCCCACTTTGCCTGAAGCCCCCACTGAAAGATCAAGGCTATGCTCACAGTCAGAGAGCAGCCGTCCTCCTGTGGACTCACCACCTGCAGAGGGTCAGTGAGGGGCTGGTGCTATGAGACTTGGGTGGCATCTCTGACTGCCACCCCCCTGACCCAGAAATGGATTAAAGGGAAGAACATGGATGGATGGATGGATGCTTTGCGCCAAATACGCGTATGTGGCTCTTAGGTACGTGCACGGAGGGGCTCGGCCGCGCTCTGACCAATCAGAGCTGCTCATCAGAGCGGAGTCAGAGCGAAGTCAGAGCGGGAAGGAAAGGAGCCGAGTTTGTGGCAGTAAAGTGTGGATTTAAAGAAAACGGAAGAAAAAAAGTTCGGGATGACAAGGGACACTAAAATCCCCACAAAATCCAATCTTTATGAAAGCTGCAGGTTCTCTGTCAGGTTCTCTGTCAGCTGAGGTCGAGTTGTTTTAGTTTACATTGAGTTCTATGGAACTTTTTTCTGGGCAGCCCAAGTTCATTTACTTTGCAGTACCACAGCGCCCCCTGTGCCCATGGGTGGGACAGCTCTAAGCTAATAATACTCTATCCAGATATTATTATAGATATATGGGAAAACCACTGTCCCTGCTAAAATGCAAAGCTAGCTCCATCAGAACACATGCTGATAAGGAAATTGGCTCCAGCTAGTTTGTGTTCAAAATGGCTTCTTCTGCATTTGGCAAACACTGTGGGTGACGTCAGCACTCGGTCAGTCACTCCTAAGTCTGAAAATCCCAAAATTGCAAGGTTGCACACATAGCACAGTTCTAATATTGAATGAAAATGTGCAATGGCGATAATATGACCATGACCAATTTTCCACAACAATAACAAGACATCCCCCAGTCCAGTCTCACCTAATGCATTGCCAAGTCCCCATATTAATAAAACCATCCTGTTCCATCCTGTCCTGATCTTTTAGACGTACTGTGGCCTGGATTGCTCCTCCGTGAGACCGCTGTGCACATAAAAGCTGCAGATTCATGGCTTGTTTTATGAGCGTGAGGAAAAGACGCCACCACAGCAGAGCGCTCGGGTCCTGCAGGCGGGAGCTCCAAACCTTTCATTCTCTCTTTAACTATATCGTGCAGAGGAAACTTAACTCAAAAGGATGATTTTAGAAAAGGCTTAATACTCAGACCGGTAATTTCTCTATTCCTCAAGGCTCAAGGTTCCAATGTAGTCTCTCCTCGGGGAAATGTGTCTCAGTCTCACAGCTGTTAGACATAAACACATAAGACCATACCTGCATGTCAGACCTTTGAAGCTAAGTAGGACTGGTTAGTGCTGTGATGGGAGACCTCTGGGAACACCAGGTGCCACAGTGGGGCGGCTGAGGCTGTAAAGTGACAAGCTGTTGTGTCCTTGGGCCTCCCACATTAGAATGAGTCTGGTGTGTGTGTGAATGGTTTTGGTGGTGGGAGGGGCCGATGGCACAGACTGGTTGCCTCACTTCTATTAGTGTGTCCCAGGGCAGCTGTAGCTACTGTAGTAGTTTCTCACCACTGTGTACGAAGTGAATGAAATGCCTTTGAGTGTTAAAAAAGCGTTGTATAAAACCAGTGCATTATTATTATTAAGACACGCTCAACCTCTGGACAATCGGCTCGCCTGTGCAATACTAACACAAGAATATGCCATAATATTGCACAGTCCAACCAGTGCAAGGTAAAACATCAATATACTGTACTACACCACGATTCAAAACAGTATTTACAAAGTACATACACATGACTAAAGTGCCAGTGCAGTGTAGACTAAGGAAGTGCATTGCACAAGCCCAAACACTGTGCTTGTAGACCCAGGACTGAGGCTGTAGATCCAGGACTGAGGCTGTAGACCCAGGACTGAGGCTGTAGACCCAGGACTGACTCTTTAGATCCAGGACTGAGGCTGTAGACCCAGGACTGAGGCTGTAGATCCAGCCTTGTAGAACGTGGTTGTGATAGAACAGTTAACAGCTCGACAAAATTGATCCCTGATTGATAAATATCTTTATTATTTGTTATTTCCATAACAGCTAAGTTAAACATGCACAAATCACCTAAATATCAACTTTTATTGGGTTAAAAAAAAAACATTTACACAGGATTAGTAATACAGTATCTGTGGCCTGAGACCTTAGTCCTGTGTGAATGTACCAAATCTGTTAGTTGTAAAGTAAAAATTCAGCTGAAAATGACCTAATGTATTTGGCCAAACACGTCGGGTGATATTAACCCTGTGTGAATCTGCATCTCAGTGATTGTTATCACAAATACCATTGTTTCTACTTTCCACATTTTCTATCAAAATCTGGCGCCTTTTCGTCTCTCTTACGTACTTCAACAACAAGGCTATGCGGTAGAAATTTTGTTTATCAGCATTTATAACTCGGCCTTGTATCGCAGCATGGAAACCGGTCCACGGGATTGATAAAAGATCCAAGATGAGAGAGAAAGTTCTCAACAGATTTTGGCCTGGAAGACATGTTTAGCAGGAAGCAAACATTTTGAATATCATTACAAAGCTGTAACTAACACGACCATAGCCTCCATGGATACGATATAGAGTGTCCGGTTGTGATATAAGAGAAGATAGAGCCATAAGAAACAGGTGGGGCAGTCATTTGAGAATCAGCAGAGGTCCAGAGGTGATACTAATCCCTGCGAAAGACCTGACTCACAAAACAATTAACACACAATGAAGTTTATTTTGTCGTGTTGCTATTGTGTTTTCATGTTTAATAATCCAATAATCTTGAACAGCTGTCTCTCAGTGAGCGTGTGAAGTTATCTCCACCTTCTTCTCCTAACCCCTCCTAATCCAGGAAGTGCTGACCACGCAGGCCTACTACTCTTTGTGCAGGGGAGAAGGCTTCGGAGGTAATCGCGAATAGCTTATGAGTCCCGTCCAAATAGGGGGGGGGCGCTGCTCTTATTTACTGCTCCACACGTAGACAGTTAGATCCTTCACTTCCTCATTTCCTGTAGTTCTTCTGTTCTGGGGTCCTCCACCTTTTTTACTGCTCTGCCAAAGATGAGACATTTAGAAAAATGATCATGTTTCACGAGTCCCAACATTGTGGCTTTACATGGGCATTTGAAAGCCAGATCCTGTCAGACCTCGGAAGCTATAGGTTAGTGCTGTGATGGAAGACCTCTGGGAATATGAAGAGCCACAGTGGGGAGGCTGTGGTTTTGTCCTTGGGAAAGACACTTCCCTCTTATTAGAGTGAGTCTGGTGTGTGAGAGAGGTCAGTGGTGGTGGGAGCGGCGGATGGCACAGACTGGCTGCCTTGCTTATGTTAGTGTGCCCCAGGGCAGCTGTGGCTACAATATTAGTTTATCACCACTACAGTATGTAAGAATAATGACATGTGAAATGTCTTTGAGTGTCCAAAAAACTCTTTAGAAAACAATGCATTATTATTATTATTTACCAAAAACTTGAGTTGTTTGTAGCTCCATCCATGCTACCACTTTCAGGAAGTTCTGGCACAAATCAGCACAAACATGTCCTAGCTGTCCAAATACTCTGCTTTCATGATGAATCCTTGGGCGTCATGTACAGAATTTTGCAAAAGTGTCCAGTCCCACAGCGCTCTTTACAAGTGCCTCTGCTCACATAATGTTGAATAGATTCACAGCTTCTACAACAAAATGGAGGTGTTCTGCTCATTGACCCAACATGAAGGAAGGACCCAACATGAAGGAAGGACCCAACATGAAGGAAGGACCCAACATGAAGGAAGGACCCAACATGAAGGACCCAACATGAAGGAAGGACCCAACATGAAGGAAGGACCCAACATGAAGGAAGGACCCAACATGAAGGAAGGACCCAACATGAAGGAAGGACCCAACATGAAGGAAGGACCCAACATGAAGGACCCAACATGAAGGAAGGACCCAACATGAAGGACCCAACATGAAGGAAGGACCCAACATGAAGGAAGGACCCAACATGAAGGAAGGACCCAACATGAAGGACCCAACATGAAGGACCCAACATGAAGGACCCAACATGAAGGAAGGACCCAACATGAAGGAAGGACCCAACATGAAGGACCCAACATGAAGGAAGGACCCAACATGAAGGACCCAACATGAAGGACCCAACATGAAGGAAGGACCCAACATGAAGGACCCAACATGAAGGACCCAACATGAAGGAAGGACCCAACATGAAGGACCCAACATGAAGGACCCAACATGAAGGACCCAACATGAAGGACCCAACATGAAGGACCCAACATGAAGGACCCAACATGAAGGACCCAACATGAAGGAAGGACCCAACATGAAGGAAGGACCCAACATGAAGGAAGGCCTGAGCTGTGATTACTGTTGGTCCCGTTTTTTGTGAGTCTGATCTTTTTCCTGGACTGTACATAGTTTCCACTGTTTTGGTGTGTAAATAAAACCACCACAATTTATTTTTTCCGACTGAGCCATCATTTTTAAACGAACCCTCACATTTGGTGTCAGAAGTGGTATACATTTAGACACAAGTACATATAGACACAGAGACACAGGTACATTTAGACACAGAGACACAGGTACATATAGACACAGAGACACAGGTACATATAGACACAGAGAGACACAGGTACATATAGACACAGAGAGACACAGGTACATATAGACACAGAGACACAGGTACATATAGACACAGAGACACAGGTACATATAGACACAGGTACATATAGACACAGAGACACAGGTACATATAGACACAGAGAGACACAGGTACATATAGACACACACACAGGTACATATAGACACAGAGACACAGGTACATATAGACACAGAGAGACACAGGTACATATAGACACACACACAGGTACATATAGACACAGAGAGACACAGGTACATATAGACACACACACAGGTACATATAGACACAGAGAGACACAGGTACATATAGACACAGAGACACAGGTACATATAGACACAGGGGAGCAGGACAGGAAGTAAAACAAAATTGAAACAACCCACCTGGTGGGTTGGGGTCATTAGGGACTATGTAGAAGTAGAGAAAAAAACCAAGATCAATCAATCAATCAATTAGTTTATTTCAAAACCTGCACAAACATTTTTTACAACGGTTCATCTTGTAAAGCACATGCATGGTTTGAAAAGGGGGTTGGCAGAAGCAGAAGCTTATTTATATCCAACCACCTCTCACACACTCTCTACAACGCAACCACAATGCAAAAACAAGAAATCACAAAAACAAAAAACAAAACAAGCAAAACAAAAAACAAATCTATATCCCCTTGGACTACCCCCACCGGTCAGGTAAAGTAGAGCATATACAATACTGTAGCGATACAACACACAACAAAACCAGACAGGACAACCAGGACAGGACAACCAGGACAGGACAAGACAGGACAGGACAGGACAAGACAGGACAAGACAGGACAGGACAGGACAAGACAAGACAGGACAGGACAGGACAAGACAGGACAAGACAAGACAGGACAGGACAGGACAAGACAGGACAGGACAGGACAGGACAGGACAAGACAGGACAGAACAGGACAAGACAGGACAGGACAGGACAAGACAGGACAGAACAGGATAAGACAGGACAGGACAGGACAAGACAGGACAGGACAAGACAGGACAGGACAAGACAGGACAGGACAAGACAGGACAGAACAAGACAGGACAGGACAGGATAAGACAGGACAGAACAGGACAAGACAGGACAGGACAGGACAAGACAGGACAGAACAGGTTAAGACAGGACAGGACAGGACAAGACAGGACAGGACAAGACAGGACAGAACAAGACAGGACAGAACAGGACAAGACAGGACAGAACAGGATAAGACAGGACAGAACAGGATAAGACAGGACAGGACAGGACAAGACAGGACAGAACAGGACAGAACAGGACAGGACAGGACAAGACAGGACAGGACAGGACAAGACAGGACAAGACAGGACAGGACAAGACAGGACAGGACAGGACAGGACAAGACAGGACAGAACAAGACAGGACAGAACAGGACAAGACAGGACAGGACAGGACAAGACAGGACAGAACAGGATAAGACAGGACAGAACAGGATAAGACAGGACAGGACAGGACAAGACAGGACAGAACAGGACAGAACAGGACAGGACAGGACAAGACAGGACAGGACAGGACAAGACAGGACAAGACAGGACAGGACAAGACAGGACAGGACAGGACAGGACAGGACAAGACAGGACAGAACAAGACAGGACAGAACAGGACAAGACAGGACAGGACAGGACAAGACAGGACAGAACAGGATAAGACAGGACAGGACAAGACAGGACAGAACAGGATAAGACAGGACAGGACAGGACAAGACAGGACAGAACAGGACAGGACAGGACAGGACAAGACAGGACAGGACAGGACAGGACAAGACAGGACAGGACAGGACAAGACAGGACAAGACAGGACAGGACAAGACAGGACAGGACAGGACAGGACAGGACAGGACAGGACAAGACAGAACAAGACAGGACAGAACAGGACAAGACAGGACAGGACAAGACAGGACAGAACAGGATAAGACAGGACAGGACAGGACAAGACAGGACAGGACAAGACAGGACAGAACAAGACAGGACAGAACAGGACAAGACAGGACAGAACAGGATAAGACAGGACAGAACAGGATAAGACAGGACAGGACAGGAAAAGACAGGACAGAACAAGACAGGACAGGACAGGACAGGACAAGACAGGACAGGACAAGACAGGACAGGACAGGACAGGACAGGACAGGACAAGACAGAACAAGACAGGACAGAACAGGACAAGACAGGACAGGACAGGACAAGACAGGACAGAACAGGATAAGACAGGACAGGACAGGACAAGACAGGACAGGACAAGACAGGACAGAACAAGACAGGACAGAACAGGACAAGACAGGACAGAACAGGATAAGACAGGACAGAACAGGATAAGACAGGACAGGACAGGAAAAGACAGGACAGAACAGGATAAGACAGGACAGGACAGGACAAGACAGGACAGGACAAGACAGGACAGAACAGGATAAGACAGGACAGAACAAGACAGGACAGAACAGGACAAGACAGGACAGAACAGGATAAGACAGGACAGAACAGGACAAGACAGGACAGAACAAGACAGGACAGAACAGGACAAGACAGGACAGAACAGGATAAGACAGGACAGAACAGGACAGGACAAGACAGGACAAGACAGGACAGGACAAGACAGGACAGAACAAGACAGGACAGAACAGGACAAGACAGGACAGAACAGGATAAGACAGGACAGAACAGGACAGGACAAGACAGGACAAGACAGGACAAGACAGGACAAGACAGGACAGGACAGGACAAGACAGGACAAGACAGGACAAGACAGGACAGAACAGGACAAGACTCACTCACTCAGACACTGGCCCCGGACGTTCTCCGACCACACACCACTCGACAGGACAGAACAGGATAAGACAGGACAGGACAGGACAAGACAGGACAGAACAGGATAAGACAGGACAGAACAGGATAAGACAGGACAGGACAGGACAAGACAGGACAGAACAGGACAGGACAGGACAGGACAGGACAAGACAGGACAGGACAGGACAAGACAGGACAAGACAGGACAGGACAAGACAGGACAGGACAGGACAGGACAGGACAGGACAAGACAGGACAGAACAAGACAGGACAGAACAGGACAAGACAGGACAGGACAGGACAAGACAGGACAGAACAGGATAAGACAGGACAGGACAGGACAAGACAGGACAGGACAAGACAGGACAGAACAAGACAGGACAGAACAGGACAAGACAGGACAGGACAGGACAGGACAGGACAAGACAGGACAGAACAAGACAGGACAGAACAGGACAAGACAGGACAGGACAGGACAAGACAGGACAGAACAGGATAAGACAGGACAGGACAGGACAAGACAGGACAGGACAAGACAGGACAGAACAAGACAGGACAGAACAGGACAAGACAGGACAGAACAGGATAAGACAGGACAGAACAGGATAAGACAGGACAGGACAGGACAAGACAGGACAGAACAGGACAGGACAGGACAGGACAGGACAAGACAGGACAGGACAAGACAGGACAATACAGGACAGGACAAGACAGGACAGGACAGGACAGGACAGGACAAGACAGGACAGAACAAGACAGGACAGAACAGGACAAGACAGGACAGGACAGGACAAGACAGGACAGAACAGGATAAGACAGGACAGGACAAGACAGGACAGGACAAGACAGGACAGGACAAGACAGGACAGGACAGGACAGGACAGGACAAGACAGGACAGAACAAGACAGGACAGGACAGGACAGGACAGGACAGGACAAGACAGGACAGGACAAGACAGGACAGGACAGGACAGGACAAGACAGGACAGAACAAGACAGGACAGGACAGGACAGGATAAGACAGGACAGAACAGGATAAGACAGGACAGGACAGGACAAGACAGGACAGAACAGGACAGGACAGGACAGGACAGGACAAGACAGGACAGGACAGGACAAGACAGGACAAGACAGGACAGGACAAGACAGGACAGGACAGGACAGGACAAGACAGGACAGAACAAGACAGGACAGAACAGGACAAGACAGGACAGGACAGGACAAGACAGGACAGAACAGGATAAGACAGGACAGGACAAGACAGGACAGGACAAGACAGGACAGAACAAGACAGGACAGAACAGGACAAGACAGGACAGAACAGGATAAGACAGGACAGAACAGGATAAGACAGGACAGGACAGGACAAGACAGGACAGGACAAGACAGGACAGAACAGGATAAGACAGGACAGAACAAGACAGGACAGAACAGGACAAGACAGGACAGAACAGGATAAGACAGGACAGAACAGGACAAGACAGAACAGGATAAGACAGGACAGAACAGGACAGGACAAGACAGGACAAGACAGGACAGGACAAGACAGGACAGAACAAGACAGGACAGAACAGGACAAGACAGGACAGAACAGGACAGGACAAGACAGGACAAGACAGGACAAGACAGGACAAGACAGGACAGGACAGGACAAGACAGGACAAGACAGGACAAGACAGGACAGAACAGGACAAGACTCACTCACTCAGACACTGGCCCCGGACGTTCTCCGACCACACACCACTCGCTCAATGCTCAGCTACTGCTCAGGGAATCATGCTCCCTCTTCTGCGTATTTCTGCAGTAATTCTTTTTTAAAGTATTTTTTAAACTTGGTCATGTTGGAGCATGATTTTAATGCTTCCGTTAAATCTTTCCAGATCTTCACTCCT